TTACATGTATAATTACTAAAACATTAAAACATGACTAAACAAGACTTTTGCAACTTACTGATTTGGTTCAACAAACTTATTGGCCAATTAACGAAACCATTTTTTCACTTCGGCTGAAAAATTGCCATTATCGATTCAAGCGAAAATTTACGCACGCATAAAATGGCTGCGAAGGATTGGCCAGCTGTGCCCTGCATACTTTAACAAGAACCGAAAAAAATGCTACCTATATATAGTCGAATGTCTGTTTTGATCTGACCAGTTGTTGATATTAAAGGAGAAGTATTATGACACGAAAATTCCATTACGTCCGTATTAGTAGTACTCGTTTTATACTGTGACATGACGCGTACGTTTGTGCCAGGATTCCGACACCATGTGTCTTGTTTACATGTACATGTATATATAAACAGTACTGACACGCTTGTAATGGTTTATCCTAATGCCTTTGACAATAATTAATTATATTCCTAATAAACGATATATAAACTTTTCATTAGCAAATGACCAACAATATAACATCAAATTTGAGCATATACGAGTATATAGTATATATGTATCAGACATTAAAGGCATCAGATCCGTTACCAAATCTAAACAAAATAAAAAAAATCGCACGTGTGATCTCGCTTCACTATGTAAAAGATGGTTCTTAAAGTTTTGGAAGCCAGAACTATGTTCTCACAAACCTATCCAATTAGTCTCAGAAGAAAAAAAAACTATATATACATTCAAATTTCTTCAAAACGAACTTGTTTGTACATATAAACAAAAGAATAGATTGAAAAATTCAGATGTTTTATTAAAATGCAATGCATTAGCCCTTACACCGCTGCGTTTTGTCTAAATGCAAAACAGGAGTGGAGACAATGTGTTTACTTTTAGCATGGTTCCACAATATTAAATCTAGGTGAACTACAGACAGTTGCACAGTCCATTATTTGTATGCGTAGAAAGAAAAACATTGTATTTCAATTTGAAGAAAATGTAAATAAAAATGTTTTGCAATAAAGCAAGAATTTAAAAATTGGTCCTGAAGTGTCTAGCCGATATATGTAAATGTTCGTTTTAATTGGCGACTCGCAAAATAAATCGTGTCATTCCGCAGTAAATCATGCGTTTTATAGACTCGGCTACTGTGCGACCAAATAAATCTTGATAGATCGAAATATGTCCTCCATATGTAAAATATGTTATATATCAAATACCGCAATTGAGAAACAAAAGAAATAAAAATAAAAGAGAAAAAAAATCCATATTTATGGTCCTCTAAATTAAAGAGTCACAATGTACCAAAATAGCAAACGGTTTAGCCAACCTACATTTATGCCATTTCATCATATTGACGTCAAAAGTGTTTGCACTTTTTCATATTTACAGAGTTTCATTAATAATACAAATGCGTTCAAACATAAAAACTAAAAAGTTCGGTCACTTTATGGTTCTACATGTATTTTAATAAAGTGTATGTCAATAATATAAAAAATTGATGCCATCCACATATGTTAACAATGCATTCTCAGTTTTTACAAAACACCTTATCAAATATACACAGTTATTGCTAAAATTAAAAAAAGAATAAAGGTCTGCCCGACATATAAAAACACTATCTCAACAATGAAACTTTTGAAATAAAGGCTATCATAAATGTGAAATAACATTTTGATCAAACAAGCAATCAAATGCAAAAACCACTTTTCGTTTGCTAAACGATTACAAGTAGAATAGAAGTCGGGTACCGACATCATTCAACCACGTTTACTCTTTGACATAATAATAAAAGCATTGGTTAAATATTTTTTGATCAAACATTACCTGTCATTGTAAACCTGAAACTAAGTAAATCATGAATATAATATCACGGTTATCTGCCTTTATGTTTTGTTGAAGAGAAATCAATTAATTACTTAAATTACAACAACCCAACAAACACCTTAATGAATAAAACATACATTCTCCAATTCAGATTCTATTTTTGAAAGCCACAATAACCGTCAACGGTGGCAGTGCAAATAAGCTGTCATTTGTTGCAATACCTTTTGTTTCTCTGTCGGTTACACGTTCTCACAAACTATTTATTTAAGAACAAATAAATAATTGTTACATTTTAGTCTTGTTTTATAACTAATTATTAACTTTTGTAATTCACTTAAAATGGATGCTCCAGAAGCCGCGTGATTCGTTTGTTCTTTTATTTGCCCTCAGCAAAAGGCTGAATTTACGCTGCTACTTTTTTTTAATTGTGCTTTTGTAATTTGCTGCTTTCCCTCAATGCGTCCATGCTCCAATAGTAAACATACAAATGGATATAGAGTCTCTATGACAAGTGCTTGTAAATGTTCAATGTTTGAATTAATGCCTGTGAATTTTTATGGGCTGAATAGCAAACCATTGCAGCAAGTGTAGTCTTCACATCCGGTTACTCGAATGTAGATATTTTTGGGTACTGAAATCCATCAGACAATACGCAAAATCAAAGGACATTACAATTTCACAAGTTAGTAGGCCAATGGTGAAATGTACAACATTAATAGTATACGGTAACGCGCTCCATTTTCAAATATTCCTTTACGACATAGCTGTGTATCAAGCGTATTGACATTGTTGCTTACCTTAAAAAAGTTAATAATGACTGCATTAAATTTAAAGCCTTCTTCTTTCCTTATACAATGTGTTGATGTCTTTTTGCAGCTTTGTTTCTGAGATGTCTTTTCATATGAAAGGGCGTGTGTCCTGAATTATTGTGAATTATACTAATGATTTGTCCTTTTTGTGTCTTCCGCCCAATTTACTTTTACAATTCACATATATTACTTTGTATGATTTTAATGATACGGTAGTAAGTTGAAGTTTCCTTTAAGTTTCTGTTCCGTTTCCCCACTGTGTGCCTTTCCAGTGGTTTGTTAGACTGCGGCGTTCAGTGAATAACGTTCTCCCAGAAATAACTTATTTAAAGGCCCATTTTGCCTCAGAAATTATTTTATTCTTATTTCTCAAAATATTTTTAGTTTTGTTGTACTTTTATAGTAAAATTCATTTGTTCTTTAAGAAGTAAATATTTAAAGCATATTGTGCCTTTAAGGTGACTTGTCGCTCATATCAAATAATGATATCCAGTCTTACATAGTGTCATAGACATTAAAAATATGTTTTCTTAATTCTAAAGTTACATAGAGGATATTAAAGTTTTTTCTACTAACAGAATTTATTTTCATGGAGTAATATAAAAATTAATATTTCATAAGTGGCGAGAGCCACGAGTGAAATATGATAATTTTCATACCACGAGATGAAAATTAATGAAAAAACTTGAATTTTCTGTTTATTATATACTTTTTTCTTTTCTTCTTTGTCATTACATTTTAAAAGATTTAATTTTGTTTACTGGCTGAATTTAGAAGAAAGACAAGACACCTGTGAAAATAATGTAAATACGATTCACTGCAGTGAAAATTATTTTTTTTACGGTGAAAATACGGAAAATGAAATAACGCATTTTATTCAATCAATATTTCACAATATTACATTTATAAGTATATAATAAATGTTTTTATTTCTGGTATCTGAAATGTATTGGTTATCTTTCATCAGTGTAGTAAATTGGGAAAGGTTAATTTTTCAGATAAAGGCCTAGTTTCAGGACATATCAAATGTTGATTTTAAATTCAATCATTAAGACAATAGTGATGTCATCATGTACATATTTATAAAGTGAGGTTTTTTATTAAAAAAGAGTAAATGATTTATTACACTATTCATTTTCTTTCCATTGAATTTGACATGATACCCATATTAATTTTTCATATAAAATATAATAAATTGCACTAATTGAATTTTTAATTTGTTGCCCTTATTTTAATGGTAAATTGAGATAACAATGTAAAGACGGATTAATCAAAGAGGTTATTACGTTTGATGTGACTGGTGAAATATTTTAAAGTCGGAAAATAATGGCAACTATATGGTAAGGCTCTGAAAGGGAATCGCGTGTCTATTTCATCATTTGTTTCCATTTAAAATAGCATACAGTTAAAGTGACATTATGCTCAGTTTTCCATTGTAACTTGGAGCTTAATAAGTAATTTATTTCCAGAGATGGATTTGTAATGGTCATTGACCAAAACAAAATGATAAGGATAAAATATAAAAACTGCCTTAAATATACTAATAAAATAACTGCTGCTTTCTTTTTACAGATACATGTACATTCTGAAGGATATTTATAGAATTTTCCATAAGTCATTTGGGTCATTGATTATGTTTTGCGAAGTAAAATACAAAAATTAAAACAATTCGGGCAAAATTTAAAGTTGTTTTGATTTCACTCACTATCTTCATTTAGATGGGCATAATGTCACTTTAAAGTGTAATATTTCATCTTTAAGGAAACACGGTTGTTTTTTCTTTCCCTTTATAAACATATCTTAAATGGTATGTAAGCTAATAACTTACAACAATTGTTTGTCTATACCTATATTGTAAAGCTTTGTTGATGTCGACATTGCCCATTCATTCATATTTTTAAAATGAGACTCATTGTCATCTATCTTGTAAGATTCAGCGGTTTCTTATTTGTCCTACTGATTCGAACCATCGACACTTTATTCTGTACGGACCGGCTGTATATTATTGAACATGTATAGTTTTTGAACTGGTTGAACGTTGACGTGGGCTGTTATTAAAGGGCCATTTTTAAATCATATTTTGCTCCTGATATACATTATCGTTAAGCTCTTTAATCCTTTGTAATGTTCGGGATTATTGGATTAAAGAAATCATTCGATATTCTGAATACTTAGATGGGTTTAAATAAAATGAACCAGTTTATTGGACCTTTAATCACATTACATGTACATGTATAGTGAAAACCAAAGAAGCTCGAACCAATGAAAATGCAAAGTCAAAGCCAGGACGCATGGCACTAACCAGATATAATCCACAAGTCGGATTTTAAGTCAAGGACACGGGGAGCGTTCGATGAAGTCAAAAGGTTGTTTCTACCCATTACATAAATAAATAAAGTACTTGTATTCAATTTAGTACATGCGTGATTTTTTCCTGTTAGTTAAATGGAGACATCGTCTTTTGCTAAAATGTCGTCTGCTGAATGGAGTTATATACTTTATTATAAAGTTAAATTAACGCGGAGATCTTTGACTTAAAGACCAAAAGGAGTTATAATTTGGCAGCGTTTAAAGGTCATTAAGATAGATAACACAGTTTTGGTTAAAAAGACAATCAATTGTTTTGAAAATCAATAGCTTTTGTATTTGTAGGTGAACATACCGTTTAGACTATATATTTAATTACGATTTGATATATTCGAATAACCGCTAAGCAGTTAAATAGCCTTTTTAAATACTCTAACCATTAAAGTAATATTACACTCTTCATTGTGCTTTTAATCGTTTAGAATCGCTTCATGATATCTTAAAAGATAAAGAGACACATGAAAAGGAAAGAGGCTTAAGTGAAAAAGAAAGACTGTTGGAGGATTTGTTTGCTTGTATAAGAAGAAAAAAATGGGAGATTTTGTAGTGGGTTTTGTAAAAACAATCCGTATGCAAGGGAATTACGATGACCAGGATATTTTTAAAAGGTCGAAATCCGCCACTCCAAAATTGCCGGAGAGACCGGTAAGTTTGTATCGAAATGATTGAATGATTTGGAAAAAAAATGATGCATGATTTCAAACTTTCTCTTTAATATGGGGACTTAAGTAGTATCACAGGGTCGTTGTTTTGTTTTTCTTATGTGATTTCTTAATGACATAATATAATTATTGTAAAGCTACTAATTCGACACGGGGTTCTAGGACGAATGGTTAAACGGGACTGACATTGACTGACCTCTGTGGAATTAAACTCCAAAATAAATTTCTTTGATTTTTTTTTCATGTTATGAAGCTACACAGCTATACCTTTTTATCTGAAATTGTGCATAAAATTTCTAGGGATATTAAGCTGAATATTTAAAGTTATTCAGGCACCAGTATAAATATCTGCATTGTTATACCATTAACATTTCATCGTCGGATACCCACGGTTGACTAACTCATAAATGGTAATGGTTCGGCCGTGGGTATCCGACGATAAGATGCCTTGTGGGCCGCACGAATGTGAAGGCTCGCCTTGCTTTATACTGGCGACAAAGGCTAACCACTTTCAGTTAAATCAGGGTAATGGTTTATGCACGTACATTTAGAGCCTAACATCATCTTTCAAAGCTCTTAAACTGTTTCATATCACTTTTACGAAGCCAATTGAACGCATGCATCATTATGACAAAGACTGCATAAAAAAGGCAAACTAATATATTTCAATTGAAATACAATGACTCCTTTATTTAGCGATGTCAATAATCGAAGTCTATCTAATTGGTTTCTATACGAAACCGTACAAAAAATGAAAGCCGTTTTGTTTGAATTGCCCGGATGGCGATCGTTATTTTTTAATAAAATGTTGTAAATCAGTATCAATTTCTAAAGTAAACAGTATTCGGATGACTTTCATTGATGCCCACGCATTAGGTAAATGCTCACTTTGATTCGCGGACATTTTACTGGTTAAGTTTTAGGTACTTGAATGTTATATTATGAAGAATAAGTGCAAAAAATCCCATCGTTGTGTGATTCACGAATAATTGGACATAAAATTGAGATTTAGATCGAGGGTAAATTCCATATATAATTTGTCAATGTGCTCCTACATGTCTTAATGTATTTACGTAGACAAGATACTATTGTTATTACTCAATGTTAAATATATTAAGTATATATCACTTCAAATTGAGATCAACTTTTTAGACTTTACCAGGCAAGATTATAACACGTGGTTTAAATCTATGCATTGAACTAAATTAAAGTGTAAAAAAACAAATATACTTTGAAATGAGTATGCTTTTTTATCATATAGGCATTATGCGTCCATCACTTGATAATAACTTGCCAGTATGCACCATTATCGAGTGAAATTAAGACAAAGTTTTCGTAAAATTTAGTGATGTGATTTTTTGTGGATATTACATATTTATTTGTTACATTTCAGTTTGGACAATGACATTGAAACCATATGTTAACACTTTCAGGGAAGCATCACTGCCATTTGTGTTGTTGATAACTTGAAACTTACAATTTCAGATGCAGACCTGTATTTTTGCAGTCTAAAGTTAAAACTCTAAATTCTGTTTCGGCGTCAATTTACACACCGTGCATATGATTCAGATGTTTTTCAGATGTTTTAGATATTCTGTTTTTATATTTTCAGATGTCGCACACAGTTCTACCTGTTTCACCACCACCTGTTTCAAAACGGTTGGTGAAAACAGCCCTGCATCAGGCTGTACTTGATGGTCGTGTGCACCAAGTACGTCTGCTTGTTGAGAAACACGGCGTTGGTGTTGACGTCAAAGATGTGTATGGACGGACGCCATTGATGTTAACGTCAATGGTTGAGGAGGAAGCAGGTGCGAGGATGGCAAAAATTCTTGTAGCTGCTGGTTCGAACCTAGGTTTACGTGACAACATGGGCCGAACTGCTCTTAGTTTAGTCTGTTTAAATGGTAGGGAGAAAATTGTTGAAGAAATATTGAGAAAAGATATACTTAACATAAACGAACCAGACAATGATGGGAATACGCCCTTGCATCACGCGGCGTCCAGTGGTAATCCAAACATTGTGAAATTTCTTGGAGAACTTTTTGTAAAATTTGGATTAGATATTGACACAAGAAACAAACTTGGTTATACAGCACTGTTACTAGCGTGTAGACATGGCAATTTCGTTTCAGCTCATTTTTTGTTATCAGAAGGTCAAGCTTCGCCAGCTCTGAGGGATGGCGAAGCGTATTTGAACGCTACGGAGTGGACACAGAAAGGATCGAGACATGCAGTTCTTCCAGCGAGAAGGATAGCGGCGCCACCTAGTGCGCCGGCTTTTTCAAGGGAGTCAACTATGTATCAGAAACCGATAACTCCGGCATGTAAACATACAAGAGCTCAAGCAATGATGCCGCAGTGGACTAGGAACACAGACGATATCGAGTTATCACGCAACGAAACCTTCTTCAATGGTAAAGATGCTAGGCAGCTAGTCTTAAACGAAATCAGCTTTGCAGAAACGCACGGATGGACCACAAAAAAGAACAAGCCAATAAAACTTGTTCATCCTTCAACAGCCAAGCTAATGTCGATGTCAAAGCGACGCACAAAATCGGCTGTTCCCCCGGATATGACGACAATATTCCGGATGTACTCCGATCAGTACCAGCCAGATTGGAGAAAGGAAAGGACCTCGGTGACATTACATGCTTCGCACGACAAAGCAATACCTTCAATAATTCGAACCTCGAACTTTGCGCCTCAAAGATCGGTTGAAGTGTCGAGTTAGTTATAATATTTCAACAGATTGTGTTTGTTCCACTCTTTTTGAAAATTCCGTTTAACGAATTAGTTCAGCGATTTTAACGGATAAATGTGCGTGTTTTTGTTAGTAAGGGTATAAATTTTGAATACAGGAATAAGAGTTTCTGGATAATTTTAAAGACAGAATATCCATGACATTTGTTTTATATTGAAATAATAATAAAGAATCCAGAGAAACATCCTCTATCATGTTAATAAAAAAAGCATTTATGAAATATCATAAATTAGATATGTATGTTGTATCAAGTATGATTGAATATGTATCTAAAAATGCTTAATTACAGGTAGTTGTACAAATCAAGAGTAAAATTAATTTTGTTTTGAACAAAATAAAAAAAGGTTATAGATTCTAAATAAAACACCAGTAAAACAAATATAATATTGTAACAAACTGTTGTTTATTCAAAGAGACGTATAACCCGTCTTATTCGCAAAATTTATTGTCTTCCGCCAATAGAAAAATAGTTCGCAAGTACACTAGCCACCGAAAACAAACAAGCTTATGTCCTAAAGGGAAAATGTTTTAATAATTCACTATGGAAACGTTTTCTCGAGACACTGTAAATGTTTATCTATATGAGATGTAACAAACATGCCTGGAAATTAATTTCCTGAGAGTCGCCTGCTTCAGCAACTGCCCTAAAGAAATTTAACTTCATTTACAGAAAAGACAGAACCGATTTGCTTTGTATTGTCTTTTTTATCCTGGAAATAATAAACAAAGGACATCGGTCATATTTCAAAATCTGGTAGTTGACCAGCTAGTGTTCTTTACGATAACTGCCAAACATGTCAACAGAAGACAATCTTGGAGAATGGAAAGTGATGTCTTTGTTGACATATGGTTTCTTTAAACATGTCATTTTTAACTATTGTAACTGTTCTAATTGGAACATACATGAGAGCATTTAGAAACAGTTTTTCATGTATAGTTTGAATTTGAAGTTGTACTTAGCAAAGGAGCATATGTAGTCCAGTCTCTCAAATTGTGTTTCATGACTAGGACTAGGGTTGCTTATATTATACAATGATCTTCAAACTGAATATACATACATTGTATATGTTATAATATAATCAAACCAGTACATTTTGTGTCGTCACCAGTTCTATACAATTACTTTTTCCTACGGGTTTGTAAAACTTTCCAAAACATTCAATGATTTCTGTGAAACATTGCCTTAGTAAATTGCAAAGGGAAAATTAATTCATGCCGGCTCGCCACGGCGAGCCGGTATTACGATAGGATTTTACTGAGAAACAACCTAAAACTCCGAATCAATCCAAAAATTTAATCGAAGCTTAGCTTCCAGCTTTCTACAAAATTTATCTATCAGGGCTAGGATCCAAAATTATTTAGCCAATCAAATTTGATCTTATATAGCGTCAAAAAACCTTCAATTTTCACGCCATTTTTAAAAAGCAGCAAGTATTGTTTTGAGCGCAAAGATATATTGATGATTAAAATGTTTGTTTTCATGGATTCTTTTCAGTAAATCATATTTACACTGACTTGATTTAGCTATTTAACCAGTCCTGTTTACTCTGTAGTAAGTTTTCGTTTGGTTAATTAACATAAACGACATCTGGTTCTGTGCATTTCTTTCTTTTTCCTTTTTTCCGGTCATTTTATCCTTTCCGATATTTAGTGTATGTATTTATTGGCCGGGATCCGGGACGCCCGGGATCCGGGATCGTATAAGATAATAAGGGAAAAAACTAATAAACTATATTTGTGTTGATTATTGTCGTAATGAAAGGCCATTAAACGTTAAGTTTTTTTTTATTGTATGTAATGAAAGTTAAATTGATTTAACTTAGGATATAGATATATTTAGAGCTATTTATTAACAAAATCACAATACTTATAATTATATGCCTAATTAATTGGAAAAATCAAAGACTATATTCTTGAATTGGTCAAATCCCGGGATCCCTATATACGATCCCAGCTTTTCTGAAAACAATATTCTTGAACTGTCCAATTCCTTGGATCTCTTAATTTTTTAATATGATCCCGGCTTTTCTGAAAACTATATTCTTGAACTGGTCAATTTCCGGGATCCTATTTTTTTAATAGGATCCCGGCTTTTCTGGCTGAATTGATAGACAACTTGTGTTTACTTTAGGACTTGTATCTGTCACTTATTCCAATACTAAATAACATATTACAACTTAACTTCGTATAAAGAGACATTTTTATGAATTCTACTTATCTATTTTTTTTTCTGGTCAAGGTCAACAGGCCATATAGTAAATGTGCATAGACATAGGGACTTCATTCTATCTGTTTACATCTTCATATATACTCATATTCCTCTTTGTTAAACTGAGAGAACTGGCTTCCTTAACTTTATATGTCACTTTTATTTTGATGTTCGCTGAAGTCTTTTCAGCTAACATAACTGTCATTTTTACATTTAAACACGCATCTGGAAAGAAATTACGAAGCGAGTCGCTACTAGCTTTTTTAAAAGCTAACCTTGTTTGACTTTTACGTTAAAATGATAAAAGACCCATGTAATTTCTTGCAAAGTCACAATATGCAATTAAAGTATTACATTTCTTCAGCCTTAAATTATCACAGTCATGTGACATGCATCGGAATGAGTGCGCTATATCATTGGACAAGCACCTGTCCTGACGTGCTGATAGCCAACACTTAATTAACCGATGTCGTGTCAATAGCCTTAAGTGCTCGCATTGCACAGCGGATATTTGTCAACTTCTATAACCAGTGAATTATTTGAAATTCATCAATACAAGACAGAAATTGTTCACAACGCAGTGGAATGTACAATTTATTGACTTTTCTCAAACTTATTATTTGGAAAAAAAAACTCTATAAAAGTGACACAGTGTTAGTTCATAATACAATCCTGTGGAATGACAGCACAGTGATTTTTAGCTTAAAAATCAGAAAAATTATTACAGCTAAATAGTGATCTATAAGTCATTTTATACGGTATATTCTACAGGGCTATTTCACTCATTTCTTAAGGTATTAGGACCCTAATGGGCACTATCAGGAACTAAAGAATTGACATCATAGGTCAGATGTATACCTTAAAGTACACCTGTATGCAAAATTTAAACAAAGTTTACCGTACGGAAATCAAGTTATGGCCACTTTTCTGAACTCAGGCTAGGGTGTTATGAGGGCCCTTTTTTTTAGAAATGAGGAACCTTTAAATAATCTGCAATAACATTCTAATGAAAAATGTTTTCCCATGAATTTTTGGTAAGAAACAAATAGTACCATTCAGCTAACAATCCACATAAGCAAAATTATGGTTTCTACTTAAAATTTATGAAATCTGTATAAAAATGTTACCCTACCCCACCCATTTTTACCACATATCTGACCATTTTTCTACTTAGGGAGTCTTATTAAAAAAATTCTTAAAATTTACCCAAATGAGAGCCTGTTTTCAAAGTTTCCCTAAATTTTTAAAAAAAGTATATTGGTTGCTCTTGTAAAATATGAAATACTTTTACCGTCTAGTTTTGATTATATTACACTTTGAAAATATCAGGTACCATATTTATTACTAGATTTAGCATAATTTAGCCAATAAATACCTATAAAAATTAAAAATTCAAAATTAAACACTTTTTCTTTCCATATGGGACATGAGAGATACATAAATAATGTTAAAAGAAAAAAAGAAAGAAAAAAAAAGTTGACTCTTCTGGGGATTGAACCCATGGCCCTCATTTTCAATGTAGTTAACAGTAATTCTAGCCTATTTGAATACTCTTCAAAGCGGAGGTAATGCATTAGGGTTAAGTGTAAAGATATTACACTAGTAGAAAAAAATACAATGTAAATGAAAATGCATGAAAATATGATTCGCTGCTTTCTTACAATAATTGTAATTCATCGTTTTGAAAAAGAAACAAACAGATAAATAAAATCAAACTACAAGTAATACGATATTATTTTCTACGTGTCTGTTTCATGATTGCCTAAAGTTGTTTTACGTTTCACTACCCGGGAAAATCAACATTCCTGTATCTATTGTGCGCGATTAAATAAGCGGCCACCGCATTCAATACTTCCGACAATGAAATTTGTGATGAATTTTTCCGCAGACGACCTCCGCTACTGCAACATTTTGATCAGTGTTTGGACCAATGAATATATTTAAAGGATTAGGAATAAAACATTTAATAAATCACAAGAAACGATTTCCCTGGTGGGATTATAAGCACGCGCCTTGGGGATTCCATCAAATTGGCGATGAAGCCTTTTGACTAGAAGATATCAAATAAAACTCCCTATCATCAATAAACTAGTTATTTCGCTTTAACCAAATGATTTAACTAGTCGTATAAACCGCCTCTTGGCGAATCGAATTGACGACAATATTTATCAAATCTGAATTTCTCCAACAATGCAGACGACATCGAACGCGCGCGGAGACCATTATTTTACACGACCTAAGCGACCCGCAAGTATTAGAAGACAGTAGTAAAGAAGAGGACAGATGAAATATTGGTGGCGTGTTAATTAAATGAGAATATGCAGATGTTTAGGAGCAGCTAAACATGGTAATGTAACTTAATGAGCACCAAGAGATGAATTCAGGCAACAAGACAGAAATTGACGGAACTCTGTCATAACCCGAGACATCTTTAATTTTCATGGGACATTGTAAATAGAAAAGAATACATCAGAGAATTGTAAAGAGTCAAACGTTCTTGTGAAATGGTCCGTTGTTAATCCAGTACTTAATCAACGGTGTGCCGTTTTACATACATTTTGATTCCCTTGAAAAGCTGTTTTGCGGAAAAGTGTCTAACATTTTGCGACATGGCCTCCCAGGAGAGATCACTCTAAAAGACGAATAGCTCGCGTCATTTCCGCCGATGAATTGAGAAAATAATCTACAGTGAGAAATAGGTACATATAATGCATTATATTGTATGATTAATGTCTAAGGGTGTATCAAAGTCAGCATATTATATTAGTGTAATAAATACGAACTTAACTGAACAAATTAAGATTGGCAATAGCTTTATATTTGCTAAATACCAGTGTCTATTTCATCATCATGAATATTCATGAATAACGCTGATTTAACACAGTACGCTTAGTCGTAGACAAATTTCTGTCAAATGTCTTAGAAATGAAAATCTGAGCATGAATCAGCGTTTACTAAACGTGAATAAGCTCAACTGTTAGTGCTAAAAGCACTGAAATCAGTGAAATGATATCATACTGTAGATACATATTTTAAATTTAAGACCCTCTACTCCCACCGTACAGATAATAAGTATTAGTATAAGTGTAAACTTTATATGTTACCTCCTCTTAATAAATATTTAATTATTTTTATATATCCGTATCGTGATTCTCTGTCATTAACAATAAT